ACGATGTTCTCTTCTCAGTCATCTATGTCAGAAAGAATTCTGTTTGGCTTGTGAACTGGGTTTCCTGTTCCATATGTTAGATAGTCAAGATGGACAGACTTGTCAGGTATTACTGTTTATTTTATTATATTTTGTCTGGCTTCGATCAAACTTTCGTTTCATTTTTTTATTAGTTGTTTTTTTAATATAGCCACTTCAGTTAGGTAAAAGATGTGGGCACACGAGTGGTCTTGATCAGAGATTTTTGTCTCTGAATTTTGAGTAAAATCTTGTGTGTGCCTGTGCTTCCATGACAAGATTATGGTGTCGCGGACAGGATTTGTGATATAAAAGTAGTTTGATAATTGTCTCTGATAGTTTTATCGTCTGTAAGAAGTTATCATCCGATCAGATTCATTTTCCTTTCAATTGCATGACAGCATTTGGCCGCTGGATTTATTATATCAAACCAGTGTGACATTTGTCGCTGATTGTTTTTTATCCTCAGCAAGACAGAGCATCATCATTCAATCAGATTCATTTTCCTTTAGTTTCAATTGCAGGATCCGCACATGATTATCAATATAGTGGAAAACGACCAACTGGAGGTGAAACTCTTGACAAGACTCTCGCTAACCACGTAGATAAAGTAAGACTAATTTGTAAAAACTTTCATTCATAATTTTTCCAGGCCAGTAATTTCTTACGAGCATTCCGGACCAAGCCAGAGTTAGCCTTATTAGGATTGGTACTTAGTGAAGCAGATGAAACAGCTGGCAGAGCTAATCTCACTAGATTAATACAGAGCTGGCAGAGATTTGTTCATCAACAGATACATTCGGTAATTCATATATTAATGGGATTTTACATTTCTACATTTTTTACATTTATTGTGGACACTGATAGCATCAATTTGTACCATTCCAATTTTCAATCAAACGTCTGTACTACATACTCTGTAGTTCCTGCAATTCCACTAAAACTAAGTGTTTGATGACGTCACTTATCACGAAGGGCTTATGTGATAAAGCATATTTGACAATTAGTGACATCATTAAAACCGCCCTTTCTCAGAAATGAGCGCAGGTAAAATTCTTCAGAAAGTATCGTTAAGGAGCTTTATTTAATTCTGAATTTAATTTTAATTTTAATAAAATATGATTAGGTTTGTGTTAGATTGGAGAAGGAGCCTTTAAAGATGTCAAGGTGGCGATTTCACTGCAGTGACACACTGTTACCTTTGTTTGTGTTATGAGCCTCAATTTGGATTCAATATGGCCGAAAGTGAATAAGGTCTATAGACGACTAAAGATGGGTTCCCTTATTTCTTAATGTCATTTTAAGCAAACTATTTGATTAATTGGTGTTTCTAATGAATTATTATGTATTCTTAATCATATCATTACGTTCTTATTGCATATAATTAAGAGTTTTAACCAATCATAATTGGACATGTATGTACAGTCTGGATAAACAAAAACAGATTTTTTGACATTTCTTGATCGGTCACCCATTGGAATTCTGTTGGTAATTCTCTTCTAATTTAGCTAATTATGAATTAATTATGGACATGTGAGACAAACTGGTATTTTTCCAAGTTATTAAAACACCTCTACTTTCTATTCATATAAGTATTAGCATTTTCATTTTCATAAATATAAATAAGGGAACCCATCTTTAATTGTATTTGATGATATTTTCAGGAAACTTGTGTGAAGGTTGAAATTGACCCAAATCCTCCTCCACCACCAATTGAATCAGAACAAACAGATAAAAAAAATGAAGAGAAAGAAAAAACAAGTAAATCAAAGAAAAAGAAGAAAAAGGGAAAGAAAAAGGATGAATTAAAAGAGAAAGAAAAGGAGGAAAGTGACGCTACAGAAAGTAATGGTGATGAAAAGTTAGTTGTTTTTAGTTAGTTTCTTTTAGACTGTAAATCCTTAAAGAGATTGTAAAGAGTTTTTCTAAATTTTTTATGTATATCTGGGACACTGATACCATCAATTTACACCTTTCCAATTTACAATTGGATGTCTGTGGTACCAGCAATTTCACTGAAAGTAAGCGTTTACTTTGCGTTGACAACTTCGATGCAAGGCTGTAGATGAAATGGCTGATCAGTTTATTGTAAGACATGATATACAACTTATTGATGTTTGATAATAATCCGATCTTTTTTTCCTTCATAGTAAAACAAGTGAAGAGCCAGCCAGTAGTCAGTCAGCAGAAGAACAATCTGCCAAGTAAGTAACAACCTCATAATGACAGTAGCAAATTGTACATGTATCTGCTAGAGATACAATCCCAACCAAAACCAGAAATATTCAGCTTTTTTGGACAGGTTTGCCATACTTTAGTCTCAGAAATAGGAATTTTTAGCTGAGCCTGTCGAAATTTGTGCCTTCAAATCCATGTTTGTCCAGAATCATCTGCCTTTGAAAGTTAAAAAAGACAACTCATCTTTTCTTGAGACTATACATTGAATAGATAGATAAATAGTTTGAAGTATTTTGGAGGTTTTATGCTGATTTCGTACATTTGTAGTACTTCTGTAGACTATTTACATATTCAAGACTCAAATCAACCCCCCAAATAGAGAACCTGTCTCTTTAATTATTTATAGTTGTGTCTGTAGAACTTTAGGAGATTTTGTGAGGTGTTTTATATTTTGATTTTTAAATTGCTCAAATGTCTTTTTTTAATTTTCAGGAAAATAGAAGAAACATCCATTATAACTGATTTATTTGGTACCACGACAACCACGACGCTGACTTGTAGATGTGGAGTGGAAACTACGAGAGATGTAGATACAACTTTAACTAATCTATCATACCCTGACTGTAACCCATCAGGTAAACTAGTGAGTGCGCCATGCGGCATTTGGGGTGGGAGTTGTTGGGTGAATTGACGTGGCTGAATTCAGAATACAAAGAAGCCCCATAGTTCCAAGCCTTTCAAGGAGCATCTAAGAGAAAATGTTTTAAAAGTGAATTTGGTGCATTCTGACACATTTCTGGGCAAAAATGTATAAGAATTATTAGTAAAGTCGGGGAAAGATTTTACTTGCTGAACTTGAGAAGGTGGGCATTGCCTCCCAAGCTATCTTTGAACTTTAATTAAAAAGGGGTTATTAAGTGCTCTTTGTGCATGTTTTTCTTTTTTCAGGTCCTAATTTACCACCAGTGTCGTATACATTAGCTGATGTATTAAAATATAGCTGGATGTCAGAGACTATGATACAGGCGTGGTGTAATGATTGTAATAGGTATCAACCACATGTAAGAATTTTTTCATGATACACTTATATACTTATATAAAAGTGTGATCAAATTAAATTAATCAAATTTTGAATTCATAAATTTGACCTCAGGAAAAATGCAAAAAAAAATATATCAAATAATAATAATTAAGTTTACTTGTATAACAGCATGGTAGCTTAAATATAATTATTTTCAGGTTCAAAAGAAAACATTAAAGAATATACCAGATGTTATAGCTCTAAACTGTCAGATGGAAAATAAACGGGACTTTCACTTCTGGAGAACTCAAATAAAGGTAAGAATTATCGCCCCCTGTCAAGAAAATACTGGGGGCTGCTTGATTGGTGAGTTCTGCATGTTCCAGATTCATGGAATCAGAACGTTCAATAAAACAAGTTGGAATAGAGTTTAGAACATGTTCCATGTGTGTCGAAAAAAAAAAAGGAAGGTGAAGACAGAATTCAAAATGGTGGAGAAGGAAATAGATGGGAAAATTTTCAATGTGACATATGAGCTTCCGACCATTCGATTGAGGCCAGAATTGGAACAGACAGAATCTGTTCAGAACCCGCCTATCGAGCGCCAATCATGTTAAATCCTATTATAAGTATTAACCTTAACTTCATTTAAAGGAATTTTTGTGGGTTGATTTGTGTTTTAAATATATGTAAATAGTCTACAAAATACTAGAAATGCACAAAAATCGCATAATTTCTTCAGAAATATCTCAAATTAGGAATTTCACTTTCTATAGATGTCTTTTCAATTTATGATATTTGATGAGTCGTCTTTTAACATTCAAACGCAGATAATTGCAGACAAACATTGAATTGAAAGCTTAGATTTCGATGGTGAACTGTGAACAGTTTAAGTGATTAGTTTAGCTAAAATCAGTTCCCATTTTTGGGAATCACCATTATAGTTGTTAGATATAGTTTTAGGCCTTGGTGGCTCAGTGAGTTAACCTGAAGGTCCAGAGTTTTTTCGATTTTTCAAACTGGTTTCCCCCTGCCAGTGATGTGGGTAAGAGGGACTGACATGGAAAAAAGTGTCTAGTAGTTCGAATGGGACAATAAACCAAGGTCTTGTTTGCTCCAGGCTGTGAACGTTAAAGATCCCTCGACAGTTGGAAAATCTAAAAAAGAGCAGGCTTATGCCACTGTCGTGACAAAATTTACCTCATTGCACCCTGCAAGGTGTTGCCCGTCTTCAATAGCCCACATGATGCAGAAAAGTTTCATTTCATTTTCTATCTATACATTTTCAGTTATTGACACCTGAACCAGACCCTGATAAAGAAACACCAGAAACAACTAAATCTACTACCCCTAAAACACGATGTCGCTATGGTAAATCTTGTTTTAGGAAAGATTGTAAATTTAGACACCCTTCAGAGGAGTAAGTTTAGCTTCTTTTTTAGAGAGCTTTTTCAAAGTAGAACCAATTGTCAATGGAATATTTTTAATCTTCTGTATTATTGTTTACTTTTCCTGATTTCCTGATCGTCCGTCCGTCCGTTCACATTTCTTGTATGCACGATAAAGACTACAGTTTTTATCTGATATTGATGAAACTTAGTATGCATGTATATATTGATGAGATCTTGGTCAAGTTCGAAATTGATAATAATCGGATGAACTGTTTCAGAGTTATTGCCCTTGTGTGTTCAGCGATGAGACATTGTTCATGTTTTAATTAGATGATAATTTGATTTATGAACAGTTTTGAAGTTTTGCCTTGACTTATGATTTTTTTTTGAAAATTCATTATTAAGCCACTAAAGGTTTTGTTATCATTTCTGACAGCTGGTAGTGGGCATATGTTAGGTTGCCTGGCAAGCTATCTTTCATCATAATAATTGTTTTTACAGTGATCTGATGGAAGAATGGTTGGACCATTTAGAACAAGAAGAGAACCAAGTCAGCTGGATACCACTAGGTCTAAAAATAACACTAGATGATAAATCTAATTTAGATATAGAACAGATATCAGATGAGGTGAGTTAAAGAGATTGTAAAGAGATTTTCTAAATTTTTTATGTGTATCGGGCGATAGGATCAATTTACACCATTCCAATTTTCAATCAGATGTTTGTGGTTCCTGCAATTCCACTAAAACTAAATGTTTGATGATGTCACTTATTGCAAAATATACATATATCACATTAAGACCTTCACAATTAGTCATCATACACTTAGTTTTAGTGGAATTGCAGGAACCACAGACATGTGATTGAAAATTGGAATGGTACAAATTGATGCTATCAGAGTCCCCGAGACACATAAAAAAATTACAATACCTTTAATGCAGGTAAACAAATAGTCCCGACATTGGGCAAAATTGTTTATCATGGTCAGTGATGTTTCAAATTGAAAAACGGTAAACTGATTTGACTTTCGTAGCAAAATTTCCCTCACTGCACACTGACTAGCTTTGCACATCTTGATTAAGCTCAATCTGGAGTAGAAAAGTAGAATGTAAAACACCATTTCATTTCTGTGATTGGGCATGTCAAATCCAACTTTTAGAGGTTTCACATAGCTTGTATTTTTTTTTTCAGGAGACCTTGCCTAAAAAGCTTGCAGATTTTACTAAATACTATGAACTGCTAGCAATAGTATCTCATATCAAAGATGACCAGACAGGTGGCAATTTAGTCAGTCATATTAAAGTTGCGGAGCCTTATCATTTACGTAAAGAGAGAGTGCCCTGTACTCAGTGGTATCATATTAATGATTTCTGTATTGAACCAGTGGAAAGGGTAAGTTTTGTTTCAAAGGGACAGATGCGTCATCCATTTGACCAATTGTACCTTAGTCTCAAAAACAGGAATTTTTTAGCTAAGTTTATCAGTTTGTGTCAGAATGTTCAGAATTATCCGTGTTTGAAGGTTAAAATGACAAGTCGTCATATCTTGAGACTACCATATATAGTAATAGAGAGTGAAATTCCTAGTTTGAGGTATTTTTCAAAGAATGGTCGATTAGCAGCAATTTGTTGTTGTACCATACTTGGATAATTTAACATAAAAGCCAAATAGAATCTTAAGAGGAAAGTAGGTGGAGCTTAGTTATACTACAACTAGTCCATCAAGCTGACAATCATTTTATTTATATTACAGTCTTAATAGATTCGCCTGTTTAAATATTTTAACTCGTAAGAACTGTGGTATATTAATTGAATTCACTTGATATTTATTTATTTTTATGTCATATTTTGATTTATTTTTTCTAGCCTGAAGTTACATCGATGAATTTAGATTGGAAGATACCCTGTATTTTATATTTTATACGTAGAAATATTACAGATTATCATCCTTGTAAAGGTAACACACTCAATTAGCTACATTACAATTTCGTTTCCTTATTATTTTTTTTGTGAGTCTCCATTATAATCTAAGGAGATCTATACCAAGGTCATGTACTGGTGACGTTCATACTATTTATAGTAGATGATCACTCTCCCGTCAATAAGAATCAATTTTACAAGTGATTATCAGCAGTCTCATAATCTCATTGTTCATATCACTTTACACTATCCCACAAATCTTTTTTCTATATTTAGACATGCTGTGAGTGGTTCAAATGAACATCAACAGTGCGCGACCTTGGTTTAAATAATAACTTTTTGATAAATTTCAGACAAGCAAAATGCACGATTTTATTCTGAAAGTGATATAGATGACTTAAAATGAGCTCTTATCGACATGGAAAGCTAATATTTTTAACTTTGTGCCTTTCAATCATTCATTCATTCATTAATTCATTCATTCCAGTTGTGAATCCCATCAGTTCAGAAGTATTGTTCAATGATCCAGGGCTAGCTAATGCTGAAAGACGTAAAATCACCTTCACACCTCTACAGAAAGATCAGTTACCAAAGAAAGGAGATTTAGTTGGGTTGGATGCTGAATTTATTTCTTTGAAAGAGGTAGGGTAGTGCTAGTCCAAAATCAAAGTCTTGCTGCAGTAAAGCAATCAAGAAGAATGGTGAAGTAGCTGCGGTGGCTCAGTGAGTTAACCTGAAGGTCCAGGGTTAAATCCTGGTATGGGTCATGATAATACCTTCGGGTTTTTCAACCTGGTTTCCCCCTCTCAGTGATGTAGGTTGAAAAGGCTCACATGCAAAAAGCGTCTAGTTGTTTGGATGGGACAATTAACCGAGGCTTTGTGTGTTACAGGCTGTACATGTTCGACAATTGGAAATCAAAAAGAGCAGGTTAATGCCACTGCCGTCGTCATTAGCCCAATTGGTTGCACGTAAAACTCCATTCATTTCATTTTCAAAATGGTGTAAATGAATTTAAAAGGAGTTTCCGTGCCACTCCTTGACTTCCCTTTTTCCAGATCTGCATAATTACCAGCGGGGAAAGGTGACAAAAAACATTTTTTTTTGAAAGGTCATATTAAAATGGAGATATTTTAATTTTTAGGAAGAAGCAGAATTAAGGAGTGATGGTACCAAATCAACCATTAAACCATCCCATATGTCAGTGGCTAGAATTACTTGTATACATGGGTAAGACTTTTGTAACAGTTCGCATACTTTCTAGACAGTTTCCACATACTTTTTAGACAGTTTCCTTGCTTTCTAGACAGCTTTTCATATACTTTCCAGACAATTTCTCCACATACTTTCCAGACAGTTCCACACACTTTCCAGACAGTTCCACACACTTTCCAGACAGTTCCACACACATTCCAGACAGTTCCACACACTTTCCAGACAGTTTAACATACTTTTCAGACAGTTCCAGACAGTTTCCACACACTTTCCAGACAGTTTCCACACACTTTCCAGACAGTTTCCACATAGTTTTCTACAAACATTCTGACAGTTTCTTAATACTTTCCACATTCCTTTACTAAATACCAATAAATAAATATTATGATTTACAATTCTTGTACACCATTTAGCAAATTTTAAAGATGTGTTGTATTTTTTCTTTTGTAGTCAAGGTGATCTACAGAGTGAACCATTTATAGATGATTATATACAGAATTCTGAACAGGTATGGTGTTAGTTCGAAACTTCCTTTATTCCAGCCTCTGATGGATATTTTGACAGTTGTCAGCTATAGTAGAGATGAAATACCCTATTAAATGTGGATTTTCTACACCACCACAGATGCTTTTTGACTAACATAATATTAAATTACCATTAAGATGATTGTAAATTAGTGTTGGGCATTGGCATAACTTTCGTTTTAAAGGTATCACTTGACTCTGCGACCTTTGAATTTTTGACTGCACAGGAAGTTTTAAATGGCAAATGCTAGATCGGCTTCGTTACAAAAAAAATTTGATGGAACAGTAGACATGACATAAATGGTGTAGGGAATAAATGATGGTATAACTGAACTATTCATCTTTCCAAATATACCTGGGTTTTGCAGATTCGAGGTATCTAAATACCTACTTAATATTTCTGTGAACCCAAAACCTAAATCAACATCCGAAATGACGAACCTGTCTCTTTAAAAAAGGATTCAATGTTCATGATTCTAAATACAGATTTTGCTAATACTTTAGATTTTGGTGGGCTTTGTTGTCTATATAAGGGATATTCTGTAACCCTAAAAGCCTGGCCGTGTATTCTCAAAACGATCTTAGCTCTAAGATGTCTTAGGTTCTTTTTTTCTAACATTGATTCTAGGACAGGCTAGCACTAAGATTGTTTCGAGAATATGTGGCCTGAAACTCTGTACATTCTATTTTTAGGTAGTGGATTACCTAACACAGTATTCAGGTATCAAACAAGGTGACCTTGACCCTTCTGTTTCCACCAAACATCTGACGACACTAAAGGCTACGTATCAGAAACTGCGATATCTAATTGATGCTGGCGTAGTGTTTATAGGACATGGTTTAAAGAAAGACTTTAGAGTTATTAACCTTCATGTAAGTTCAAGGAACGTTTCCAAACTTCTGTTCTGTTTGATTAACCTTTTGACCTAACCTGATAAATACTGACTCACACTGGAGAGAGTAAAGCAAAGGTCATGGAGTTAGGTAAAAAGGTTAATTTGATGAACGTTCAAAAGGGTTGTCGTAAGACCTTCACTGAAGTGGCTATATTAAAAATAATATAAAACAAAACAAAAGTTTGGTCTTGTTTTAATTAGACTGCATGTTCCACAAGTTTATTGATCTGTTTATTGGTATATTTAGGAGGGGGGAAGGGGGCATGGCCTCAAGCCATACAAAATGAATATTTTGTTCTACTTTCACTTCCATAATGGCGTAAGATGTATTGTCCGACTTCTTACATTGGAAAATTTTCCAGTGGATATGCCAAAATAACAGCTACTTTGGACAGGTATAGGTATAGGATAGTCTTAAGGATTCTAAGTTTCAATCAGACATCTGTGGTTCCTGCAATTCCACTAAAACCAAGTGTTTAAAAAACGCCACTATTTGCGAAGGTCTTATGTGATAAAGCAACTTTCACGATTAGTGAAACGCTTATTTTTTGTAGAATTGCAGGAACCACAGACGTTTGATTAAAGATAAGAAAGGTGACAATTGATGCTTTTAGTGCCCCCAATACACATACAAATTTTAGAAAACCTTTTTACAATCCTTTTAAGCATTATGAAGGATTTTTCAGCAGTATGTAAACATCTCATTTTGTTTTAAAGGTACCAAAGAATCAAGTAATAGATACAGTCCAGTTATTTCATCTTCCTAGACAGAGAATGATCTCTTTAAAATTCTTAGCTTCTTATTTTCTTAGTAAGTACAATCTTTACTATGTCAAAACTTTTTGTCTTGGGATGGCCTGCAAATCATACTTTAGTCTCAGAAACAGGAAATTTTAAAGTTAAGCTCATCGTCAAAATTTGAGCCTTCAAATCCATTTGTGTTCAGAATTATCCGCGTCTGAAGGTTAAAATGATGACTCGTCATTTCTTGAGACACTGCCATATATAGAAAAAGACATCTATTAAAATAGGAAAGGAATCAAGATGTTTTGAAAGGAATTTCTGAGGACTATTTACATATTTTCAAGACCCAAATCAACCCCCTAAAATGCTGAATATCTCTTTAAGCTATTTTCATGTTGTTTTTGTAGAATTGAATATCCAGTCCTTTACCCATGATTCAGTAGAAGACGCGAGAACAGCTTTACGATTGTATCTGAAATACCAAGAGATAGCGGAGGACAGTAAAGAAAAGGTGCAGGCCACCATTAAAGAGATGTATGAAATTGGAAGAAAAACTCAGTGGAAAATTCCTGATATTGAAGATGATGTTGTAGGGGGTTCACTCCCCTTTCTGTAAAGAATTGAGCACCCTGGGACAACTGATACATTCTTTCATATCAACTATGAATCTTTATAAATAAACTGAAGAATTTTTGCCTATTTTTTATGAATTGTACAAGATCAATTTCAATTTTTAGATTGAAGAATGTATGAGTTGACCCAGGGTAGTAAGTAAAGGTACACAATGAGATAATAGACATACATGGATGTGTGCAGTGGAGAAACATACTGAGGAATTATTCATAGTAAAGTAACACAAGCATGCCCATCCTTGGTCATTCCAAATTTATGATAAATCCAATCTTTGACCTTTAAAGGGATTGTAAAGAGGTTTTCTAAATTTGTACATCAATTTGCAGGTCTGTGGTTCCGACAATTTATTGTTTGATGATGTCACTAATGGTAAAATATGCTTTATCAAATAAGGCCTTCTCAATAAGTGATATCATCAAACACTTAGTTTTAGTGGAATTGCAGGAACCGAAGAAGTCCAATTGAATAATGGAAAGGTGTAAATTGATGCCATCATACATTTACATATACATAAAAAATTTAGAAAAACTTTTTACAATCTCATTAAAATTGTTCTTGAAAGCAGGTCTATTATATTTTTGTATTGTTTTGTTCCTTCCATAAAGTAATTCATTCATCCTTCTTCTATCATAGAAGATTCATCCTTCATTCAGCCCCGTCGCCAGAAATGAATTGGTGCTGGGGCTCAGATTTTGTACTCAGAAAATTTGAAGAATTAAAGGCCCAGAGAACTCATTTCTGACAATTTGAGGTCAAAAATGTATCAAAATCTTTGATTTTGTATAAAGACACTGTATGAATTAATCTCTGCTGAACTGAAGAAGGTTTTGCTGAGGATTAATTAACACTTGCTGGGGCCCCACCCCCATAATGACGGGGCTGTCCATCAATTTAACAACACTGCCCAATCAGTTATTATCTTGTGTTCAGTCTTTGATATTGTTTGTAAAAGTGCTATTAAAGATGTTGTATAAATCCTTTCGTCCATTTTACTTATTCTTCTACTTCGAGGCAAGCCACAAAGGGAAAATAAACGAATTTTGTGAGGAAAGCAATGTTGGCTCACTCTGTTGTGATCTATGTAGATCGGAGAGGCTGACATAGCAAAAGCGTCTAGTCATTCGGATGGGACAATAAACCGAGGCCTCGTGTGCTACAGGCTGTGCACGTTAAAGATCCTTCAACAGTTGGAAGTCAAACTAGTTAATGCCGCTGTTCTAACAAAATTTTCCTCATTGCACATTGCATGGCTTTGCCTGTCATTAGCACTATTTCATCTGTCATTTCTCTATTATGATCTCAAAGAAAAATCCAGTCTCCCATAGTTTTATAGACCGTCATCATCCAATCAAATTTACTTTTCATGCTCTGCACATGATTATTGAAATGATGGAAAACGACTGGGAGATTTTTGTCTCCTCATGTGCCTGTGCCAGTCGTCAAAACTCCTGACAAGACTATATAGGCGACAAAAATCTCTGACCAAGACCGCTCATGAGCCCGCACCATTGGCTGGTAAAATGAGACTTCCAGTTATGATTAAAATAAGTTTATATACAAGACTACAATAATTACAGACTATATATTGAGTATATCTTGGGTGACTGTTTGAAACCTTGTATAATGATATATGACGCCAAATTACTTTTCGAGAAAAACGCAAAAAACTATTTGTACTCTTTTTTATTATTTATTATTTTTTTTTATCGCTATACATGGTTTTCATTCTTTGAAAATTTAAACCTCGTATAACAATTTGAGTATTCCGACCTATTCAACCAATAACTTGTATAATAGTACAGTATACAAGGTTTTTCATTTTCATCCGCAGAAAAAGGAACATTGAACCTTGTATAATAATATATTTTACGAGGTTTTAAATCTTTTAATTTGTGGTTTTTGGGTTATTTACAATCACGATAAGAATAAGAGGTTTTGATCACAAAAAGTCAAAATGACCAAATATGGCGTATACAAGGTTTCAAGCGGTCACCCATCATATAGGGATGATGTTAGACTCTATTTAAGAGATGAATTTAGTCTATAAATAAGGGATGATTTCATTTACATAATGACTTTCAATGGACTGCACTTGGTTATATTTCAAACTTTACAATAATCATAAATACATTTTATTGGAACACTTGCATTCATTCTGGCCACGTATTCCCGAAACGATCTTAGCACTATGTCTTAAGTTCTAACATTGATTTTAGGACATCTAAGCACTAAGATCATTTCGAGAATACGTGGCCTGGAGCTTGTCGCAGATAAGTTATCTTTACTACACAATTCAAGAAATCTGATTGGTGTATACACTGACAATATTATTGACCAATGGAATGACACAAAAGCGTTCAGTTTCGTTCCGTGTTTTTATTAGCTGTCATTTCTAATCTAACCACTTAACTTGGGGTTTAACGACAACCCTTTTGGATTTTCGTCAAATTAACCTTTTGACCTAACCTGATAAACACGGCGTCACAAAATACAAGCGCTGGATTGGATTAATGCAGACGTCATAGAGTTAGTCTCCAGCACTTGCGTTTTGTGACGAGGTGTTTATAAGGTTAGGTCAATTTGATGAACATTCAAGAGGGATGTTGTTATAACCTAACTGAAGTGGATGTTTTAAAAATAAATGCCAATAAAAAACGATTTGGTCTAATTTTAATTGGAGTGTTATTTTGAAAGATAATGGATAAACCACATATCAGATTTGCCATTTTATAAAATGATGAAAATGAATAAGGTAAACTTTGATATAAATAGGATAGTAAAATAAAAAATCTCAATCTGATCAATATTCCCATGATATATTTTGTTTTGTTTTCTTTCTTGAAATGACTTCCTATATCTGAGTCTGCAAACATTCCTTATAATACTTGAGTTCAGCTTTAAATTCTACTTCATCCTATCAGGGATAATATAAGCCTGACAGTTTTGTGGCTAAATAAGCAGTGTTTTGATTGGTCCAAATAAATCATTGTGTTGGTTTTCATGGGTTCAAAGGATCGTTTTCCCCATTTTCAGGAGTTGATTTAGGTCTTGAAAATATGTAAAAAGTCTTCAGAAGTACTAGAAATCGACAGTGAACTGTGAACACTATTACTGATTAGCTTAGCTAAAAAATTCCTGTTTTGAGACTAAACGACAATTGGTCAAACAGATGGCGAACCTGTCCCTTTGAGGGAATTATTTTGTCATAGTTGAAATTAGAAAAAACTGAACAGGACTTAAATAATTTCTAAGTCAGATCACAAAGAACTGCAAAACAAAACATAGGTTTGTATTTTAAGCAGATTGATCAAACCTTTCGTTCCCTTTTTTTATTAGCTTTTATTTATAATGTAGCCACATCAGTTGAGGTCCAAAGACAGCCCTCCTGAACATTTGTCAGTTTGATGATACTGCCATCCACTCAAATGTCTGCCCTCTCCAACGCTGGGATTTTGTGATGTGAACAAAAGCTGAATGTACCTTTTGTAACAAAATCCGAGTGTTGCAGAAATTTGATTGGCTGACGATGTCATCAAACAGACACTGTTCAAGAGACCTGTCTTCAGACCCTAACTGCAGTGGCTAAATTGAAAATAAAACAACGGAACCAAAGTTGTGTGTAATTTGAATTAGCTTGTAAAATCTCCTATATGTTTGATAATTTTAGGCTTCGCTCTCTCCCTCTATAGATTGTTGATCTTCTAATATTGGTACGATTAAATTATCTTTTGACATTAAGTTATATTTAGTAACAAATGATGTGAACCTCCGACATAAATACGTCTCATTCTGAAATTGAAAAAAAAAAACCTGATACACTAAGATTGGCAGTACAGTGTACAATGATGGAAAATTTGCTTTGAGAGTGTCTTAAGTGTGATATTTTCCTGAGCACAATGAGCTAAGAGGTAGTGTTCCTTTAATTAATATTCCATTAGAGAATAAAAAATAATTTGCAGAAAAACATTACAAACCTCATATTCATCAAACAGTGCCCTATGATGAAAGTAAGCATGTGAAAATATTCTATAAACTCGTCGACATACAGATCCTAATTTAGCTACGGATGATTCTTTTATACTCACTCTAAAAAATAAATTTCAAGTAGTTATTGACAAATTCGCCTTTGTCGATTTGGGTTTTGAATATATGTAAATAGTCTTCAGAAGTACTGGAAATTCAATCAAAAATACCACAAACTAGAAATTTCACTTTCTATTTCTGTACGTGTATATGTCTTCTCAATATTAGATTCTAAAGAAAGGACAAGTCGTCATTTTAACTTGTTGAAAATTAGTTCAGGACACACATGGATTTGAAGGCTCAAATTTCGACGGTGAGCTGTGATTACTATTGCTGATTTAATAGTTTAAATAAAAAATTCTCTTCTAAGGGTACAATTGGTTAAACGGATGGCGAACGTGTCACTTTTATATAGTAAATCTCAAAAAGAATTTCCAATTATTTAAAAAAATTGATCATCCCACTAATTTCCTATGATTTAAAAAAAAAATGATCAAATTATCTAAAACAAAAAATGATCATCCAAATAATTTCCAATTATTTAAGATCATCATCCCAATAATTTCCAATTATTTAAAATCATCATCCCAATAATTTCCAATTATTTACAAAATAATTTGAACATGCCAATAATTTCCAATTATTTAAAAAAAAATTTGATCATCCCAATAATTTCCAAAGATTTTTCAAAAAATTACTGTCATTTAAACAATGCCACTCTACAAAATATTTGTGTTTATTTACCTGCTAGGAAAATATTTATTACTATTTAATAAACAGGCAGCACCATCTAGTGTATGTCTAGTATAATCTATAGCAGGACACTGAAATAATAATTAAAGTTTTTACTGGACTTTGGGACTACATTGAAATAATAATTAAATTTTTTACTGGACTTTGAGACTACACTGAAATAATTATAAAGTTTTACTGGACTTTGGGACTGCACTGAAATAATAATAAAGTTTTTACTGGACTTTGGGACTGCACTGAAATAATAATAAAGTTTTTACTGGACTTTTGGACTACCTCGTTTTTCTATAGCAGATCATATGTTTTATTTGCAATTGATGTTTGATCAAGATACTTCTTCTTAAAACATTTAATTACTCTCATTGGCAAAAGGAGCTGCTTTGGCTTCTTATCGCAAATATGCTTTATCACTTCAGGCCCTTCTCGATTAGTTATGTCATCAAACACACAGTTTTAGTGGAATTGCAGAAACCACAGGCGTCTGATTGAAAATTGGAAAGGCAAAAATTGATGCTATCAGTGTCCCAGATAAACATAAAAAATTTACAAAATCTATTTACAATCCCTTTAATGTATGAATATGCTTGACTGGAATTCACTGATATAAGCTTACCACACAAACTTTTCTAAATTTAGTATTTTAAAGTGTTACTTACTTCTTTTGGTGTTTTATGGGCTGCACATAGAAATATCCACTGTTCTGTAGCTGTCATTTGGGTACAAGTTTCAGGATTACATTCTGAAGACTGGAAAAAAAATATAAAATCACGAATTGATTAGATAATACTTCAGAGCCACGTCTCAACGGAAAGGCTCCTTGTGCCATAGAAAAATTAGCTCCGACCCATAATACTTTAGCTCCCTGTCACACATGGAAAAGCTGCTGCGGCCTCAGAAAATAAGCTCAGAGCATCTTAAGGTTGCCATAAGCATGAATGAAATGTGAGATACTGTATGGTGGCCATAAAGTTTGCCACGGAATCGTGAATAGAAAATCGTTATTACATCTAAATACACTCAGGAACCACAGACGTCTGATTGAAAATTAGTGCCAATTGATCAATGTCCCTTTTTTCATAATCGCTTTAACAGAGCATGTTTAAAGACTGACCTGTAATCTTACTGCTAACCCGTTTAATTCCATACAAAATTGTCTGAAATACAATAATAACATAATAATACTAATTTACTCATTGGGTTAATGATCAACTCTTTAGGCATTGACATCAGAGTTTCTTCTTGGATATTTATGAAAGACATCCATACAATCTGTTTTTGTTTTATGGAAATAATAGAAACAAAGCTTTCTACTTTTAAAGGGGCAGAATGCAAAGTTTTCATTATCCAAAACGTCGTAAATTATACCTGAAAATATTTCTAAAGTATGCTATTTATATCTATGTATCTACTTGATCAAACTGAATTTGTTTTAAAAGGGTTAATTAAAAACGGAGAGTACTAATTCTTCATTAAGCAGATATTATTAGTTGAAACCTTTAGAATACGTAGGAAACATATTTCTCTACAATTGGGCGTTTGTTTCACTAAAATAGATACAAAAATATAGACTGGCATTTTGTGTTGACTTACATTGTAATTACCTGCATGAAAACTATCATAATTAACTGTGAAATTAATGTAAAAATCCTTTAATCTTGTACATTTTACATGCCCATTTTAGCCACATTAAATGTGGCATATTTCGATTATTAATCAATTAAATAATCCATTATGCCTCTCCGATCTATTATCTTTACTTCCGATTAATCCAACTATGTCTACTAACCTTAAATGTTCATATTTCCAAACGCCTTCATCTTGTCCTTCTGGTGGTGTTAAAATATCATCAATATTCATAAAATCTTTACGAATGGCTTGCTGAATGAACTAGAATATAGGAATATAGAATGAAATATATAGTATAGATAGAGCTCTAATAGTTCACTGTAGTAGCATTTCTTTAACACCTTCAGAACTATTACATTCCAGTATGTTTAACTTCAATGCTGGGGATCGACGAGCTTGTTTACTTCATACGAATTGCTGGCATAAAAAATGCGAAGATATTTATGTTTGATTAATTACGCCAGCAATTAAATTCACTCATCCGCATGTGTCCGGCTTATTTTGTGGGGTGATCGATATTTCTTAAACCAATCGGACTTGATACCGATATCATGTGATGTTCAAAATGGCTGCCTTGTATACCAATCACGAGATCAAATTCAGCCGATTGAATTATGCATTAAAAAACAATTTCACTTGCATGATCCGACGCAAAAATTCGCTTGTCTGCATAAAAATAACCCTTGTGTACACAGGCGTACAGACCAAAGGCCTGTAATGGGGGCAGGCTGGTTTGTCAGAATATTTTTCAGCGAATTTTCTTTAAACTTAATTTTTTGGTTGCTGCTCAAAAAGATAATATTTTGGGGGTGGGAGGAGTGTGGGCATTCCCAAGACTGCGGTATGCTTGCTCATACGAATGGTGAACCTGTGCCTCTACTTAGGAAATTATTTCACAGTCATGGTTCTATATTTAAGAAAATCAAACAAACCTGTTGAACTGCTAGGGTACTGTCCATTTCTTCAAATGATTCATCTTGCCAATTTCCCCAATCCTGAAAAAAAAAATCTCTCTGTATTCTGAAACATGATTTCAAGAATAGAACTCAGACTAAAAAGTGTTTTTTCTGAGCTTGATGTCCTATGGGAAGGTAGCAACTCCTTATTATTAGTGAGTATCAGCCCCAACAAAGTTAGGACAAAGATAGGCTAGAAAAATAAGCATTATTGGTCCTTGTTTTCCTCTGACTACACTGAGCTCTGAATTGAATTTTTTCTCTTATTTCATAAATATTCAAAATAATATTTTCAACCATTTGTCTTGGAATGTCTTCGGGCCCATAGAAATATAAGGTTCATTGATTTAACATTTGAAATAGACACAATTTCCTCACAGAAAATTCACATGAAATGCAACTTTTCGGACTGAAAAATTCCCCTCTGTAAAATCATGTTTACAAATAATAACTTTTCCAGAAATCATTGTAGTCGGAGAGTAGAACAGAAAAGGTGACCACTGTTTTTTGAGTGGGCAAAAAATGCAGTTCATGACAAACATAGACATGACAATGATTTTATTTTATTTCGGCAATCTTTGAGTTGAAGAAAAACAAGGAGATGGAACCTGAAAAGCCCAATATTCATTATAATAATAAGCCTATCTAATTGAGACATACAAAGGGAGAGAACTCATCATACACCATCCATTGTCACTTGAAGTAGGTAAATTTCGCTCGTGGCTGTTTTCAAAGATTTGATTTTGCTTTCCATATCTCCAACATGAATTTTCATCATCGATGTATTGTGTAAATCAAATTTGACTAACCCTCGCCTTAGTTCCAGGTCTATTTCTTCTTATTATCGCAACAGGAACATTGTCTGCCATTTTGATTTTCATTTTTACTGCGCCATCTATGAGAATAATGGGAAAATAACTTCTCCAATTCATACCACAGTAATTTCAATATATCAAATGTTGTCTGTAGTTTCTGATTTGTTGTAGGGTTACACACCTTTCACCATTGAGGTACAATTTTCCAAATCCAATCCCATCCTAATGAATAGTGAACGAAATACTCCCATAAGATGTAAACGCAAGTTACTCTATGGACAAAGTAATATTATTAAGAACCCAAAATATCGAGACTTTAAGCAGGTGTTGATTTTTCTATTAGATAATGAAATTCCCATCCAATAATGATCTAGTGTGAGTATTCTGGATCTGGTGTTAAAGGACACCTTCGCCATCAGATTGGCTAATCGTCGTTCTACCTTAGTCCTAGAAACAGGATTTTTTTTTTGCTGAGCTAATCAGGCATACTGTTCACAGCTCATCATCCAAATTTGAGTCTTAACATCCCTGTGTGTCGTGAATTATCCTCGTTTGAAAGTTAAAATGTAAAATGAAGACTCGTCTTTTCTTGTGCTTCATATAGGCCAATGGAAAAAAAAACATATTACATAATTATCATTAATATATTGAAATAGAAAGTGAAATTCCTAGTTTGAGGTATTTTTTTGGAGGAATTTCAATTTCTATTTTATATATATATTTTCTATGGATGTATTTTCTATATATATATATATATATATATATATATATATATATATATATATATATATATATATATATATATATAAGTCTCAAGAAATTACGAGTCGCCATTTTAACATTCAAACACATAATTCCGGACACACGTGCATTTGAAGGTTAAATTTTCTACAATGTGCTGAGAACACTATTAATGATAAGCTAAGATAAACATTTCCCGTTTCTGAGACTACAGTAAAATCGGTCAAACGGTGACGAAACTATCCCTTTAATAATTTCATCCCTAAGCCTTTTCAATTCAAGGCCATTCTTTTGTAGTTTTTTTTTAAACATGTTATACATACCTAAAATCAACATAACTTTGTTGGTAGCATCAACGAAGTTAGCGAACACACCCTAAAAACTAGTTTTTGCTTATTATGACGATAATACGTCTTTTGAAAAGCGTAATATGACCTGTTTCATCGACAATTTCAAATGTCTAGAGTATTAACCGACGACCTTTGAAATAACTGACCTCTCGATTTCGGCCCAAAAGTCAACAGAAAATTGACACCAATCATTCACACGGATATGCAATGACGTCATTGAAAATTTTTCCCACGTCCATGCGAACTTTATGAATGACGGCATAGTAAAGTTATTGTGTTATTTCCAAGTTTTTCTGTGTGAAAGGTGTATGTTTTTATATAGGATTTATCAAAATGAAGGAATTATGGGCAAGGTAAGTAGGAAATACCATTAGCAATTTGGGGAAATTTGAAGTGATTTATTTCATATTTTTGCATGCAATTAGGAACGGTTTATTTCCAAGTTTTTGTGTGTGAAAGGTGTATGTTTATATGATTTATCGAGATGAAGGAATTATGGGCGAGGTAAGTAGGAAATACCAGTTTGAATTTGGGGAAATTAAATGGAATAACTGTGATATTTTCGGGTTGATTTAAGTCTTGAAAATACAGAAATATAAGAAAATCAAACAATTCCTTCAAAATTATCTCAAACTAGGAATTTTACTCACTATTTCATTAAATGTCAAAAAATGGTCTACCTGTCCCTGTAACTTAGTAAAATCCTGATTTTAAGAAATACAGTATCTTATTGGATAACAAATCTTAATATAAAGGGACAAATTTTCCATTCTAAGGGAGTTGATTTTAGTCTTGAAATTATGTAAATAGTCTTCAGAAGTACTAGAAATGTACAAAAATCGCAATTCTTTCAAAACTATCTCAAACTAGTAATATCACTTCCCGTTTTTATGTCTTTTCTACATATGGCAGTGTCTCAAGAAAAGACGAGTAGTCATTTATTTTTCAAATGGGTATGATTTTGGACACACATGGATTTGAAGGCCCAAATTTCGACAGTGAGCTGTGAATACTATTACTGGTTAGCTGAGCTAAATAAATTCCTGTTTCTGAGACTAAAGTACGATTGGTCAAATGGATGGCGAACCATATTCATATTTAGATGTTTCATATTTTTGCATGCAATTATGAATGGCACATTTCCTTGAAAATCAACGAAATCAGCAACAGTCATAATGTATATAGTGTTTTAAGTTGAGGACGTCAGAAACTCGTAACTAGGAATTCCGGAGTTTAATCGATAGCATTGGATTTGAAATATATGTAGGCCAATTTGGAGTTCCCGTTGTCAAGAATATATTAATGCCAAATTTACAAGAAATTAAAAAATTGCAACAACATCCATTTAATATAGAATTAGCCGAATTCTCCTTAAAAGCAACTGGAAATACAACTGGTTTTTGTTCATAACTTTAAATGATTTAAAAGGACAGAATTGCCAATATCTCAAACTAAGAATTTCACTTTTTCTTTCTCTGAATATCTTTTCTATATTGAGTCTCTAGAAATGTCGTCTTTTTAACATTTAAACTCGAATAATTCTGGACACACATGGATTTAAAGGCTAAAATTTCAATGGTGTACTGTGAACACTGTTACTGATTAGCTTAGCTTTAAAATTCCTCTTTCTGAGACTAAGGTTTAATAATTGGTCAAACGGATGGCAAACTTGTCCCTTTAAATCGATTTATCATTGGATAAATAGTAGCCTGTATATACTAATAACCAGACTGCTAAAGTCAATATTGACACCAATGGTGCAGTATATTTTTAGTCTAGTTTTAATAGCGTGCCTTTATTTACCTGGCATGAACCAACTGCCAAATTTACCACAATTTAATCCAGAAATCACCGAAATATGTGGGCAGGTTTTCAAACTGACATTCTCCAAAAATAGGCAATACTATAACAAGCCATGTCGATCAAAGATGCCGAATGAAAAATAAATTACGATCAAATTTATGTTATAGCCCCGTCACACCGGAATGCGACCATTTGCGATCTTGCGGCAACTGGAAATGTACTAGGTCGCAGTAAAATGTTAGGAAAACCAGAGAAAAAGTCCCTAAAAACTTAGAAATAGTCGACCTCAAACTGCGATACCGCGACTGTATTGCGTTCTAACGTTTATGAAGCGTCTTTGCTACGCGTGTACGGCGCTTTTATACCAAGGACATGTTACATCGCTTGTCTAACGACATTCTCGATCCCTTGGCGAACAGATCGTAGAATCTTGGTGTTAGTTTTGAACGTGTCCAAAATAAACGCCATGGCTCGGCGAACAGTAGCGACAATTAGATATCTGTGTCCTACACACGCTTTTGCCGGGGAGCCATTAGGTCCAGGGTTCTATCCCGGTTTCCCCTTGTCGGATGAGACAATAAACCGAGGACCCCCGTGCTACAGGCTGTGCACATTAAAGATCTCTCGACAGTTAGAAATCGAAAAAGAGCAGGCTAATGCCACTGTCCTGGCAAAATTCCTCTCATTGCACGCTGCATGGCGTTGCCCGTCTTCATTAGCCCAGGTGGTGCAGAAAAATAAGACGCAAAACTCCATTCATTTCATTTCTTTTACCACGCTTTACATGTTCTGAGCCATTTTTCCCTGTCAGAAGCAGCGCTAGCGTTGTCTGAAAACTTATTTCATCTAAAACCCAAGATGTCGAGTTGTTAGATTTAAAAAAGACTTTCATGATAAATTTGTATTTCATTTTCACTGAACTCTGTCTTTTTCTTTCAATAATTTTTACATATTCCGTCTTCAAACATAACAAAGTCTAGAATATATCTGAACGAGAGCGAAGATTGATTAAATATTTTCGCTCTCTTGTATTGGAGTTTGAAAGATCAAAAGAGCAGTTTCCGGTGTAGGAGTGAGTCTTAAAATAGTCACCAAGATTTAATTTGCTTGCCATCAATCACAATGTTAAACATCAATTCCACTGTTCTCGACTAAAACAACTCGATCTTCATTGAATTTGGGTATCAATAATCATCACGGAATGTTCTGACCCGAAACCCGAGACGACCAACGAACGTGAGGTATACGATAAACGAGCGAACTGGGTTAAACGTCTAATCTGCTTGAAGCGTGGGATGGTCAGAAAAAATCAGTTGTGGAACGTGGACTTTTTTTGCAAAGTAATTTCTGTAATGGACATTAGTTTTTGGAAAGATTTTTTGGTTGTTAGTTGATTACATGTGATAATTTAAAGTGTGTGTAAAACCGAGGTTTAGCTATGTGTCTTCAAGTTTCTTTATATAGACTGTTCCCGTTCACCAAAACATTTGTTTCTTTTTTTTTATTAGCTTTATTTATAATATATCCACTTCAGTTAGAGCCCAAAACTGCCTTCTAGAACGTTAGCTGGATGACGTCTGCTTTAAGATGGGTTCCCTTATTTTCATTCTCAGCGGCCTTGTGCCTATGCTCTTCCGCATTTGATATCTCAATCCCGACAAAGTTGCCACCACATTAAGTCAGTCAGCCCATCCCCTCATTTGTACACCCAGCTGGCACCACCACTGGTGAAAATACTTGTTGTGTCATTAATTTTCGCAAGGAAACTTCATCTTGAATGTAGCATGATTGGAATAATTACTACGAAGACAATTCAAAACATTTCATTCCAATTAACTTTACAACACTAATGACTTTTTATCTTGGTATAATGGCCCATTACTTCCACTAGCTCATGTCTTTATTGGTATAGGTCCTATTAGTGGCCGCCGTTTGTCCCGGCTTTCTTAAAGTGATGTTCTGTCACAGCTTGGCGCAGCAGTGGTTGAAGGGGCCTGTGGACTTCGTGTTCCTTTAGCAACAGAACGATGGTATTGATGTGAATAATCATCGTACCGTTGGTAACGATTGGTTGATGGTTGATGACAAGTTAACGTTCACTTCCAACGGATGCTGAAATCGCAAACTATGTAGTTAGTAGTTGTTGGTAGTCGTAGTGTTTGGTAGATGGCAAGCTAA